TTTTCTTTTCTTTTTTTTCCCCCTCTCCTTCGCTTAGTCTCCTCTCTCTCCCACCACGTGCTCATGCCTTGTATGCTTGTTTGTTTTCTTACGTCTTTCTTTTTGTTTTTGTTTTTCCCCCTTCAGCGTGCGCATGAGGAGGGAGAGATGTGTGCGTGGCGTAACTGTTATCCGTTTCGAGGTGAGTCCGTGCGGGAGGTTTGCCCGCCTTTTTCCCGGTCGTCGCCCGGCGGAACTGCAGGGAAGAAGGGGGCCCCAGACGCACGTCGGGTGCCGCACGCCGCCACCGCGGCTACTGCGGGCGCTGTTTCTGCCTTTTTGCCTGCGCGGCACGCTTCTCCTTGCGCTCGGTTGCCGCCTTCGCCTGCCCCTTCTTTGCACGGCGCAGCGCCCGCCTCTCGCGCGGCACCAATTCGTTGCCGCCAACGTCCGCGTACTTGCGGTCGGCGCCGCGGTAGAGGTCCTGCGGCGCGAGTGCGGCCTCGCGGGTGGTGGCGAAGTTGCCGACGGTCTCCAACGTGATGGCGGGGGCCTGCCCGTCAACCGCGCGCACGCGGGCCGCCAATTCCTCCTGCACGGGCTTCGGCGTGTAGTAGAAGTTGCTGAGGGCGTCCAGGTGCTGGGCGAGGCGCCGCCACATCTGAATTGCCCGCAATTCGTCCTTCTCAATCTCCGTCAGCGGCTCCGCGGTCTGCGCGGCGTCCCCGCTCGCCTCCTCCGCCGCCCGCGCACGCTCAAGGTACTCCTTCTCGTACAGGTCCATCAGCGACAGCTTTGACTTCTCCGAGTCTAGCGCCGTCTCGCGGCGCGTCGTGACCAGGTCGCCCGGTGTCGAAAGGGAAGTGCGGCGCTGCACGTCGTCGTAGTTCGCGTCAAGGATGCGGCGGCGGATGCGGTCCTCTAGTTTGGCGGTCACTGCCTCCGTGATGACAGGCACCGCCTTCATGGCGTGTTCAAAGTCCAGCTCCTCGTCGAGCAGGCCGTCGCGCGGGCGGTTGCCCCCGCTCACCTCGCCGCCCATCGCCCACTGCGTGCTGTACAGCCGCTCCTGCTCCAGCCGCTCCACCAGGCGCCGCTCCCGCAGCCGCTCCCGCTGCAGCGCCGTCAGCCCGGGGTCGTTCAGCTCCGCGTCGTCCTCGTCGTCCTCCGCGTCTCCCTGCGGCGGCGGCGGCGGCTGCGCCCCGTCCTCGGCGAGGATGTCGTCGCCGCCAAAGTACCTCCCGTCACCCTCGCTGAAGGCGGCGGTGGGGTCGTCCCACACGCGGTCCTCCTCGAAGTGCGGGTCGTCGCCGCCCTCCTCCTCGTCGCCCTCGTCCTCCGCGTCAGGGACGAAGTCGTCGCCGTACATTTCCTTCAGCGCCGCCAGCTCCTCCTCGCCGCGCCGAGCATCGTCTTCGTCGTCGCTGGCCGCCGCCTCGTCCTCCCCAGCGCCGCCATCGGCGTCGCCGTCGTCGTCGTCCTCCCCGCCGTCGCCGCCCTTTCCGAGGGCGTACCGCCACGAGTCTCCCCCGTTGAGGTCGCTCTGCCTGGCCGGTTGCGCCAGCCTGCGCCGCTGCCGCTGCTCGGCGAGAAGCCCCGCAATCTCCTCATCCAAGTCGCTCTCACTGAGCTCCGACGTCCTTGTTGAGAGCACATCCCTAGCCTCATCAGCGGCGTCGGAAGCGCCGTCGTCGCGTGGCCGCTTCGTCTGCCCGCGCTTGGCGCCGCGCTGCTGTGGGGTGGAGGAACCCTTCACGGCCTTCTGCGCCCGCCGCACGTTGTCCTGCAGGCGACGCAGCACAGGGCGCAGTAGCATGTTCATCTGCCCCCATATCTGCTCCACCGTCACATGCCGCGCCCGACTCGTCTCCAGCGACTTGCCGTAGTACGGCAGCCGTGGCGTGTGCAGCGAGGAGGCAAGGGCGAAGAGGGAAGAGAGGCACTGACGCGAGGCCTCCTCGCCCGCCTCACGCGAGGAGAAAAATTGATCCAAGCCGCCATCGAGGACTTGGTGGACGTTCCCCACAGAGCCCTTCAGCCTGCGTGGCAGCGCCGCCTCCTGCGTCGCCGCCGGCATCACACCCGTTTCCCCCTACACAATCCGTGAAGCCTCCGTGAGCGCGTGTGCGGCGCTGCCCGGCCACGTCGCCGCACTAATTCACTGCGGTGCAAACACTTCAACGCAAAGAAGCAAGGCAAAGGAGAAGGGAGAGGGGCATTATTTTTCTCTCTCTTTTTTTGATTCTTTTCGCTTCCCAGCCCCGGCTCGCGTGCCAAGTGGTTGACGCAGCAGCCACGCGGCGGCAGCAAAGAAAAAAAGGGGGATTCGTGCAGGACGTAAATATTCAACAGACCAACTAAAGGGACGGCGTGCGCGGAGGTGAATGCAGACGACAGAGAGTGAACGAAGTGCCCCACCGCCACCGTCGTCGTCGTCGTCGTCGTCGGTCTGCCTGTTGCCTCAGAGAAGAGCACCAAATATTATATATATATATATATAATATATATATATGTATAGAAAAAAAAGACGCTTCGGCGTGGCTGTCGTTCCTTCTTTTTTTGTTCCTTTAATCCAACATAAATGTGGCGCACATTAACCATACATACAGGCACAAATTGAAGCACGCTGAAAGCCCTTTCTTTTTTTTTTCTCTCTTTGCTCCATCCACTTCCGTCGTGTGTTTGCGTTGCAGCTGCGGCCTCCCTCCCTCCGCGCTCACACCACTGCCCGCATAGGCGTCTGTCAGCGCTCGACAGAGGCGCAGAAGACGGGACACCGCACACAGAAGCTATAAAGAAAAACAAAAACAAAAACAAAAAAGGAGGGGAAGCAAATGTTCCATGGCCAAACTACTCCCCCCGTTAAGAGGGGACACCCTTACAGGTCGTCCGCGCCATCGTCCTTTGCTGCTGGCTTCGACTCGGCCGCCGCTGCTTTTGGCTCCTCTGCAGCCGCCGCCGCTGTTGGCTCCTCTGCAGCCGCCGCCGCTGTTGGCTCCTCTGCAGCCGCCGCCGCTGTTGGCTCCTCTGCAGCCTCCGCCGCTGTTGGCTCCTCTGCGGCCGCCGCCGTTGCCTCCCCCTC